AGAATCAAGGGGAAAAATACAACAGGCTGTGTGCCTGGTTGCGCCAGGCATGGCAACAAGCAGAGAAAACCCAGGAGTGAACTGCTCAGCACAGGGCACCCCCAACCTCCTCTGCACCCCTGAGAGAACTGTTCACTCAGCTCCATTAAGACTGTGGTGACACGTGTGATCTGACACTAAATTTTAAGTGAATTTGGAAATTAATGCTAAAGCCTGATATGAATGCCAGAAGGAGCATGGAAGAGAGAGAAAAGAGAAAAAGCTGCCACAAACCAGCCGTGTGGCTGGGACCAGCCCTTCTAGGCTGCAGCATCTTCCTGCATGAGTTAATGCCGCCTGACTGTACCACATGGGGAGGGAGACACCTCACAATGACCGCATTCTGAGTGCTCTCGTGGGACTGCCGCTTTGCAGGCAAGTCAGGCACTCAAGGAAGAGTGGCTGTTATTATTCTAACAAAACAATCACAGCTTCACAACTTTGCCATACAATTGAGGATTCATAACACAGACTGCATTCCATGGGGCCCCCCGGAAACAACACCTGTTTCTAGGCACAAGGCAATTGACCACTTACTTGCACCGATATGCAATAAAATGAAGGTACAAGCCGTCCTCAAGTCCCCAAGTTTGTCTTTTATAGGACTTAAACACCAGGCTTTTGTACATCATCTCTGTAGTGTCAGAGAGGGGCTCTTAAAGCTCTTGATGCCTTATTTCTGCAGCCAGTGAGTCCCAGAGCGTGGCCTGGACACTAACACCCTGGGACTGTTTAACATATCTCTGCAGAGCCTTCTTTTGTTCCACAAACAACCATCTCCTATTTAACCTTCATATGATTGACTTTTTCCCAGCATGTATCTCCTTTCTCCTCTACAATAAGAATGAATTTTATTCCTTTTCTTCTTGTAAAAGCAATATATGGACACTAGGAAAATCAGAAAATACAAGTGAGGAAAAAAAAGAATAAGAAACATCTGGCAAATACTGTTTCTAGGCTCTCCCAGTGCCATCATGCTTGCTAAAAACATCACCTGTAAGAGGAGGGAATGACGGTGTCCTTTCTCTACCAAGCTTGCTGCCTTGAATTCACATCAGGCTCTTAATTTAATTTCAAAGTAACAACATTCCCAGAAGAGTCCAGTTAAATGCCTCCTCTCCCAGGGGACCCGGCTCCAGTAAGCAGTTCACATGGCAGGGCAGGGATTGGGGGAGTTTTTCAAGCAGCCAAGCCCTCCATGGCACTAATCAAGCCTGACTCTCTGGGGTTGACTGGTGTGGCCTCTGACCTCTGCACACACCCCAGCCCCCAAGGCTTCTAGGAAAATGTGGATTCCTGATACAAGTTTGTGTGGCTGTTCCCACTCCAACCTGCCTTTCAGCTTTCCAAGGTGCGCGGCAAGATTCCAACATTTCTCCCCACCTCCCTCCTCTGCTCCCTTGTGCCTTCACAAATGCACAGTGTTCGTTCCCAAGCACCTCAGACCAGGCAACAGGTGGCTCACGTTCTACTTCCCTTGTCACCCCTGCCATCACTCCCCCTCCTTTGTCCTTGTCTCTTACATCCACCCTACTACCCATGGAATTCCTGGGAAAAACAGACAAGACAACCATCATGGAAAACCAGCACGCATGGGCCGGCCCGGTGGCGCACTGCTACAGTGCGCCGCTTGGGAGCGCGGTGGCGCTCCCGCCAAGGGTTCGGATCCCACATACAGACCGGTTCCCGCTCACTGGCTGAGCGAGGGGCGGGCACAGCACTGAGGGTTGCGATCCCGTTGCCAGTCCCGGTCCGGTACGGGCGTGACACTGAGGGTTGCGATCCGTTGCCGGACACGAAAAAAAGACAAAAAGGAAAAAAAAAAAAAGAAAAGAAAGAAAACCAGCACGCAGCCCCTGAGGAGAGAGTCTCTGGGGAAGGGGACAGCTGAGAGCCAGCAGCAGCCAATGCTCAATGCTGGATGGTGTACCTCCCAGGGAAGGGGGACAGAGCCAGGCGCCAGCCCCTTCTACAGAAACTCCTTTAGCCATGGTGTGCCTGAGGTTGTCTCAAGACCACTCCAGACTTGTCTTCTGTCATAGAGATGATCTCCACACTAGAACCACCTCTTTCCTGTTAACACACAGAAACTCATTGCACGGTGGGCTGCGGATCTGATTTCCAGCTAAAGTGGCTGTCCCATCTCTGACTCTTAGCCAATCAAAGAAATGTTTTCATTTCTCCCCCAGGGAAATAATGTCACTTTTCTGCAGGAGTTTCTACAAATTGACTTGTAAAGGGACTGTCACTGTGTATCTCCAGTGCCTAAGTGCCGTGGGTGCAAATTGGGACAGAAAACACATTTTCTTAGAATTCAGCTGGTGTTTTGAATGCTTATGATGATAGGGTCTATTACATTTGACAAATGATTCGTGACGTCTTATAATACATAGAATGGTTATTGCTCAGATTAAGTCTCTGGTTTTGGCTTTTGAACTTCTGTCTTGAACTTTTCAAAGGGCCCAGACTATGGGATAGAAAAGGGGCTCCAACTCAACACAGGACTCAGACCCGGGGTCTCTCTTCCTGTCATTATTCTCACACCTCTAACTGTGCTTCTTAGAAGGTTCCAGAACCCCTCTGGCTCAAGTCTAGAAGGAAAGCCCCATTCTGGGCCTGCCTGCTTTCCTGCATAGAAACCTTGTGGTAAAATGTGGTGTTTCCCTCTTACCTTAAGGTTCTGGAGATTCCAGAGACCTCTAGAGAGGTGGCTAGAAAACCTGCATAACAGGATGTATGCTTTCCCCAAGTGCTGTTCCTGGAGCCTATGAGTCAAAGCAAAAACTGACTGTTCTTGAATTAGAAACCCGAGAAATTTTCTGCGAATTGCTGTTGTTCTGGTCAGATTCAAGTTCAACATACACAATTTAGACCTGTGCTATCTGATACAGAAGCAACTAGCCACACAGTGATTTAACAAAATTAATTAATACAAGTATAATTAATTAGAATTGAATAAAATAAATTGAAAGTTCAATTCTTCACTAACACTAGCCACATTTCAATTATTCATGGGGCCAGTGACTACTGTACTGGAGAGCACAGACATAGAATATTTCCATCATCATAGAAAGTTCTACTGGCCGGTGCTGGTCTAGATATTTGTGAATATACTTTATATATGGGTGTGCATATACACACATATCTACACACTATATATATAATCGTAGTTCATCTTCACAGCAGCTCTTCAAGGTAGGAATTGATACCCCCATTGCACGTGTAAGAACAGTGAGGCTCAGATAGTTCAAATGCCTTGCCCTCAACTGCCCCCTTAGTCTCAAGCTCTTTATGCTACCCCATGCAGCTGACCACCTGCAGAACCCAATGTTCTGAACAAATAGCATTTTCTTTGAGAGATCCAGGTAATGGCCCTCGTACCCTAACCTCTGAAGTTGGCCTAATGCCTGCTTTCCTCCAAACTGGATGATTTTCCCCAGAGCCTGGGAGCAGAGAGACCACCACTGTCACTGGGTCTCCATAACCCACAGATGCTTCACGCATCATTCAGGATCAGCATCCCAGCGGCATGCACACAGCGGCACCCCGTAAAAACTGTTAAAGTACATATTTTTAAAGTTCCTCAGGAGAGTATTGCTTGAATTAATGAGCTGTGTATAAGCTTCAGCAAGCTCTCCCAGGTTTGGGGCCTTGGTTCCAAGGTTCCAAGGACCATGCAGAACCAAGCCTTGCCTCTGAGCTGGGTCTGTGACCCGTGACTTTGGGTAGAGGTGTCCTACAAGATGTGTGTTTAAAAATAGCCACCATCCTGTCCTCCAAAATAGAAGCATATCAAGGAAGGATATTAGCATAGGTGATGGGCCAGGGAAGGGAAACCAGGCCTGTTCTCGGGGTTTTGTATTCGCACTCTCATTTAACCTCATAAGAACCCCCACAATAGTGCAACCTCCAGGTACTTAAATAATTTGCCCAAGCTCTCATGACCAGTGAGCACAGAAGCAGAATTCTAACCCAAATAGGTTTATTCCCGAAGTCTGGAGTCTTTCCATTACACCATGCAATCCTCAAGTGTCATGTCCTTTTTATGTATCTAGCGCAAGAACCTTTGAGCATCTCTTATTCAAGGAGGCCATCTCCAGAACAGAGATCAGTTATAAGGCAAGATGGCTTAGGGGATGCTTAGGCTGACCCCCCATGGGGCTCCAGCTCTATGGCCAAAGAGACCACCTAAGTCTCCTGATCTTTCATAGAATGTCTTGCTCTAGAATTAACCCAACTTCAGCATTTTTTATAATAACAATAACAATCATATTAGCAATAGCTTCTATTTATAATGGTCCTTTGCACTTTAAAAGGAAGGCATTATGAGTTCTCAGTCTAGGTTGTCCCAATAGTGGACCCAGCTGACAGTTTTTTGAGAGATGATCCCAGGAAACACAAGTGAGGAAGTGGAGATGTGAGACAGGGAAGGGGAAAAGGCCGATAAAGTGTTCATGAATGAACAGGTTGCCACCATGGACAACTAGGCTCAATCCCAGTGGGGACCCTGAATTGTCCCACTGAGGAATATTTGTCAACCACCTCCTGTCAATCATCGGTAGAGGGTTGCCCCTAAGGGGTTAAATCCCTGACACCTTTGAGCTGCAGTGCACACAGGCTGAGAAAGCTCCCACGGTGCAAGTACAGGTGCAGGGCCAGGGAAGCAGCTGGGAGATGCTAATGCCTGTGATGGGTACACAGAGCTGCAGCTGCAGGAGACATCAGAGTTGCCTTGGGAAACGTGAGAGGGATATCAGCAGCTTCTTCTATGGTCCCCTTCTACACAGTTTCTGAGTGTAGGTGACTTGCTCAGGCTCTCACTGCTGGTATGGGAATTAACCCAGGTCTGTCTGATTAACCCCAAAGCCCCTATTCTTTCTGCTACCTCAAGCTGCCTTCAAAACCCCTCATGTGATGTGCCCACCACCTCTTACCCTCTGTCCTCCTCACTTTGCCTTCAGGAAAATACCATCCACTGGCAAGTTGGTGCTGACCCTCACGACCGATGCATGCGAGGGGAAGGAAAATTTCGTCCGCTACCTCGAGCACGTGCAAGCTGTCATCACAGTTAACGCATCTAGGAGAGGAGACCTGAACATCAACATGACTTCCCCTATGGGCACCAAGTCCATTTTGCTGAGCCGGCGTCCAAGGGATGATGACTCCAAGGTGGGCTTTGACAAGTGGCCTTTCATGACCACCCACACATGGGGGGAAGATGCCCGAGGAACCTGGACCCTGGAGCTGGGGTTTGTGGGCAGCGTGCCCCAGAAGGGGGTGCTGAAGGAGTGGACCCTGATGCTGCATGGCACCCAGAGTGCCCCCTACATCGACCAAGTTGTGAGGGATTACCAGTCCAAGCTGGCCATGTCCAAGAAGGAGGAGCTGGAGGAAGAGCTGGACGAAGCTGTGCAGAGAAGCCTGAAAAGCATCCTAAGCAAGAATTAACCCACCACCACCCTCCCTCCCCCATCTCTGCCTCTGTCCTCGCTCCATGTCTCTGGCAGGCACCTAGCAATTACTGTCACCCCACACAAGCAACTCCATCTTCTGGATCTGAGGCTTTGCTCACTGTCAATGATTATTTTCATTACAAAGGAAGCAATCTTTTCTATTCCATGCCTCAATACAGTGTCCCCACCAACATCTGTGTCCTATGTGTGACTCTAAGTTCTTTATGTCTGTCATTCCAATGGGTGATATCCTGCAAACAAAACTGGGACAGCTTTCCCAGCACATTTTTTTATGTCTGAGAAAGAAAAGAATGCATTTAAAAAGCCACACACAGCGACTTCAAGAACGTTTGTCCGTGGCCTCAACTGAGGAGCTGGTGGGTAACAAGAAAATTAAGGATGATGACAGAGAGTGAGCTCTGCATCTCTTAGAGCACAGGAAATGCTGAAAATTCTTTGGGAAAGATGTTTTGAATTTAGCAAGATTTGTCAGGGACGTAGATTAAGGTGCACACAGAGAGCCCTAATTGCTGGAAGGGGAAAAGAGATTCAGAAAAGCATGAACACTGGAAGTCTTACCACCAACACCGAGATCGTAATTCACTCTACTGAGCCAGCATGATAAAGGTGACACCTAAGTAGCTTGTCCGTCCTTCACCAGCTGCTGCTCTGAGTTATGGGAAAATGTGCTAGAGCAGCCCAGATTTCTCTCAGTTTGGGTAGAATTCATCCCAGCCCCAATTTTCTGGGGTTTCTCACATAGGTATCCAAAAGGGAAGAAAAAATTTAAGGCAGGTTTGGCAACACATCTGATGAAGAGTAGTTTCCTAGTTTTAACATACAAATACTCCTTTTCCTAAGTCGCTTTGGGGCTTCTTAATCTGATGTAAGTTAGAGGCGAGGTGAGAATTCTTTTGACAGCTTTACACCCATATACTTGGGTTTTGATTTCTGCAAAATGTAATTGGAGAGAAACATCTTACTCCATCATCATGTGATTTCATTGATGTGTTGGGAAATGGCCTCTGCTCTGGAAGAGGCATGTGAAGGCTGAAGGGGGCCTGTCTGAACATATGAGCGGCCATCTTCACGTGGACCTCCATCTGTGTGCAGCCTCTTCCGCCAAGAGCAAGGCATGCCAACTCATCCCCCAGTTCTTGAAGGAAGCAAGAGAAGACCTCGGTTAGGAAAGCACATAGTTACCATTTTGTCAGCTCAGAAACCCATGAGAAGTTTGACATGCAACCCAAAGGTTATAGCTTTCAACCCCAGAAGGCACCATTTAATTACCGAAGTGATCTGTTGTCACCTTGTTTTCCTACTCAAGGATTGGCTTCCCATCCCCAATCCCAATACCCACCCATTCCCAAGAAATGATTTGTTCTCACCCACTTCTGGCTCTATCCCTCCCTTCCCATGGGAGCATGTAGTTCCAAACGAGCCTGGAGTTCCTTTTTTAAAGTCAGCAACTCAAGAGCACTAGGTCTGATCCCCTGAAGGTGGCAAGTTTAAGAGAAAATTCTGGAAACCCCATTTTCTTTCTTTTCTCCTCTGTATTGGCATGAATTTCTGTCTTCTCTAACACCTTGTGACCTTCCTATATCACGCTTTAAAGTGTAATGATATTTATGATTTTTAAAAGAAATTTATTACTTGTTGCAAACGTCTTTTTAAATGAGTTTAGATTTAAAGAAAAATAAAAGGAAATCATTGAAAATCCATTTCACATTAATGGTCTGAAAATAAACCAAAGGACATTATGTGTGCATGTGTGTATAGGTGCACACAGAACTATATATATACATATGTAGACTATACACATGTGTGTATATATGTGTATATATACATACACTTGTATAAATGTATATACACACATATGCCTAAAATGTGTGTATGTGTATTTATTGAAGAAACAGACACCATATTCATCTCTAAAAGAATATTCAGAGAATATCAAGATGATTCTGGCTGAAGAAAAAGGCCAGTGAAAATTCAGGTGAAAATGTTCTTTGATTCCCATTACATCACCTCTGTAATTTTGCAGCTCTCTGTATAAACATTAAATGTCTTATATAGCAGCAAAAATATAAAATAGCTGTCCATATTTTCACAGTTGTGGTATAACTTATGAAATCAGAGAGTAACTTATCAGCTTCTTAATAGAAATGGCAAGTTTTGATATGAATATACAGTATATAAAAATATATATAATACTATATATAAATATTTGGTCTCTTTCATTTTTTGCATCAGTATTAACACTAAAATATGTCTAGCAAGTGACATTTTTATGATATCCCTAATCCTAGCACAAGAGACAGTTATTTATAGTCATTTACTTTTAAAAATGAAAATAAGTGAATAATTATTAATCAGGTTAACATCGTTACTCCCTGTGACAGAGTTTTATAAGTAAATTTAGACACTGTAAATTAGGAGGTTCAACAATAAAACATGATCTTCCAGAAATTATGTGGGATGTGCTATACCTTACATGAAAATACTTCCATACATTCTAGGGACAGAAAATAAAAAGTTGCCCAAGAGAGATCTAAAAAGCCTGCTTTAGCAAATATGCATGAAAGGCTTATAATTAGCATATAAATCATATACAAATTATGACCTACAGAAGCATTTTTCAGACTCAGGTTACATCTATTAGTGGGCTGTAAAATCAATTTAGGAAGTCAATACCAGAATTTTTTAATAGAATAGAATAGATCATGCATAGTAAAGATAAATTTTGTTTCCTGAAATATTTGCTTCGAGGACATGTATGTGTATACGTGTGTGTGTGTGTGTGAGTGTAGTGTACATACTAGCTCACGTGTAAAATACATTTCTTATTGTGGGTCACAGTCAAAAATATTTTAGAAACACTCTTCTAGAATATTAATACATACTTATATATGCTATATTATGTTATATATTTTATATAATAATATATAATAGTATGCAAGTATATCATAATGTTATAAAATATATAATTTATTCAGGCTAGACTAAGTTACACCATAGTAACAAACAGCCTCAAAATCTCAGTGGTTTAATACAACAAATTTATCATTCATGCAAATTCCAGTGTTCAATGACTCCCCAAAGCCACAGACCTCCATGCAGTGACTCAAGGATCCAGGCTGCTTCAGTCTTGTGATTTGTAATCATAACACGATGCTGCTATAATCAACACATAGAAGAGAACCCAAGGAGGACTCTTGTCCACTCTTCTGTGTTTAGCCTGTAGGATACAGGCTAACTTGCCACTTCCACCCACTGTGTACTGGCCATTGCTGGTCACTGACCCTGCCTAAATGCAAAGCAACTGGGAAATGCAGGGTGACTAATGGAATGCGTGATGAGCATTTGAGTCTCTACCACAGAGAGTACTTAAACTCCCTTAAAACATATTCTTCAGTCCCGATTTACATGGACACTCTCTTCATGGATAGTACCATGAACATTATTACAAACTAGCTATACCTTACCCCATGTGACCATACACTGGTCCAGAAAATTCTTAAGTTATTAATAAAATATTAATATACTATATTTATCATCGTTCATTGTAAAAATAATTTATAATATTGTCCTCTGATACAATACTTATCATACTGAATTATTAAAATCTTAAGAGAGCCTATGACTAAAAACAGATATTGAAGGGTATAAGGTCCAAAGTTTGATCTTGTGATACTGAGATACTTCTTGTCAATACTTAAGTTCAAAGATTGATTTCCAAAAAATTAAGTTTAAAAAATTGATAAAATTCTTTTAGAGTTACTACTGTATGTTACTGTTACTATCACTTATAAATTGAGTAGTTTTCATGTGATCAATGCATTCATTGATTGGAGTGATTACATGAAAACCACACAGTGTCAAACCTTCAGGACACATAGCCAAACATTTTATATTTAGAGAGAGAGAAAAAGAAATGCTAAATTAGAGAAACTGGTGACTTCATAGCCAGAGTAAGTTTTTAGAGGCAAAAAGTCTAATTTGATAGAAATTTCTAAAAATTGAAATGCAAAGGTTAGGGACAGTGGTTGGGGGAGAGGTTGAAGGGTTCTAAAACCATTGGCACAGACTGGCTCCTGGATTAACACAGGCGATCTGCTTTGTAGCCAGCAGGTGGTTCTGTATCCAGAGAAGGAGTAAGTCACCAGAAAGCATGAGAGGGACAAGGATACTCAGCACATGGGGCTCAGAAACATGTAGAATTGGGGTGAGGATAGCTAGCAGTGTCAGGCAGCATCAGGGTAGGGACACACACAGCTGGTGAACAGGAGAACTCCAGTCCCTGAATTGCTGAAGTCCACAGAGGATAGAGGCCAATGTACTAGGGGATCCACTCCCGGACTGGGTGCACAGAAACCATCCCCCTGCCAGCGGCCCCCTTCCAGGCCCTCCCACAGCCTCTGATGCCTTATTCAGCTTCCTGGGAATATTAACACCAGCATAAGGGATACAAGAGCCTGGATCTACAGAATTGTAGATCCCCTCTTTGCATTGCAAATTAATCAACTAGTGCTTGAGTTTTTCCACTCATCTCTAGTGTGCTTAATTGAACCCTTTCCTTGGTTCAAAAAACTCTGATGGAATTTGGTTTTGGATTCTCGAGGGACTAAGAATCAAAGTCTGACTTGGGGTAAATTCTCCCAGCCAACCTGCCAGATTCGTTTTTCTTGTAGAACTTAGAAGAGAGTCACCGTTCTTGAACCTGGGGATAGAATGAACTCACAGTGAGAAATGCACTCAGCCCAAAGAGATGGTAACTCTGCGATGCTAAATTCCGAGTGCTCAGCCCTGCGTGGTTTGGGGTGAGGTGGGGTGGGGTGGGGTGGGAAGGTGATTAGAAATCTCAGCTCACAGAGTTTCAGACACCAGAACAGCCAAATGAGGCTGGCAAAACCTTAGGTCTAATGTCAACTGTCACCAATTTCCACCAAGGAGGCTTCAGCTCTCACCATCCCAGAACAGGAAGTCCCACCTCATTCTGCTCTCAAAGATGTCCCTCTGTACCCAAGAGGACAGCCCATGGGCAACGCCAAGCTGGATGGAGGGCAGAGGCTAAAAGTGGTCTTTAACTCTTCTGGCCCCATGTCTTGGGACCACTCACTGGCCACAAGTGACGGGTAAGCCACCTGGTAAGCAACATGCAGGTGAAGGGGGCAGGTGGGACTGGAGAAGGCACCAGCACAGTGGAGTTATGACCAGAGATGTATCTCCTGAGAGAATATAAATCTCAACTCAAAAACCCTGCATTTGAATAAAACATAAGTCAATATGGCTTTTTTATGGCATTTATTTGCATTTATCCACACCTGAGAAAATGGAGTCAGGCACCTGTGCTAATCGAGGAGGCTGAATGCTGCCCTCCATCCTCAAAGTGCCAAATGCCATATGAGCTTGGAGGTGACTTCATTCACCAGCAAGATCCCAGCCACAAATCTACAATAGAAAAAAATTTAGAATAGGGCAGGCATGTTAGATCAGTTGCCTAAGGCAAGGTGTTAAACCTTGGTGCTAAACCCAAGGTCAAGGGTTCACATCTCCGCACCAGCCAGCTGCCAAAAATAAACTTGATTGTAATAGTTGCTTGAAGTTCCTTTCTTATAACACAAGCTTCAAGTCAAGGAGAGAGCTAAATGGCATTTTCCAGCCTGAAGGTGGGAGAAAGAGGCAAGTAGCCATGCCAGGTTGGAAGTGTCTTCTGAGATGCAAATCGGCTTTCGTAGCAGATGCTGCTAGTGCATCCCCTGTGCTAGAGAGACAGCAAACTACAGCCCAGGGACCTGGTGCAGCCCACTGACTGTTTTTGTGCACAGTCTTGAAGGAAACAGCCGTGTTTATTTGCTTTTGTACTGCCTGTAGCTGCTGTCATGCTACAACAGCGGAGTTGAAACACTGCACAGCTTATAATCTGGCCCTTTCTAGAAGAAGTTTACCAACCTCTGCCCTATATTTCCTTAGCCCACGGAGGTCCCCTATAGACAGTTTCCACACATGCCAAAGGCCACTCTGTCTCTGTGCCAGGGGCGTTCTCCAGCTGCAGAGGACACCAGGCGTGGGATGGAGCAGGCCAGAGGCACCGGGCATTATTGCCCCAGGCCACCCTCAACTGAGGAAGGCGGGAGCTGGCAGATAAATACTTCAGCTTCCTCGCCTCCTTCTGGGACTAGGTGAAGATGTTCTGCCCTCTAAGAGAGGGTTCCCAGTGGGATTGAGCCCCAGTTGCCCACAGCAATGGCCTGCTCATTAATGCATCCTGTGTTGTCCCGACATTCAAATCAGTCATCTGACCTGGCATGGGAGCAAAAGACTAAAGGCACTACCTGGCAGCTGGGGCTCTCCGGGGTTGCCCCCAGGACAGCTGGCACTCTCTCACCTGAGCCACGCAGCTCTTTCTGATAAAGCCAATGAGTAGAGACCTTGGGGTTGAAACAATCTTGACCTAATCTCAAACTTCCAGTGTCTAAGAGGCCCAGATGACTGGTATGGGGCTGGACATGGAATGTGAGTGCCTCATGGGTCACTTCTGGTCTGCAGAACTTCAGGAAGCAGCTGGCTAACAGCCTAAACGGAGAGGATGAAATTAATATGACCTAGAAGAAGCCTGGAAGGGCCCATGGGGGGAGGGGGCCAGACGTCTGAGGAGGAGGCCTCCACAGCCTAGAGCAGGTGTCTCTGAGGAGATGGTAACGAGGCTGGTTCTGCATGTGCTGGGAAAACTGAAAACTGGATTCAGCTGCTGCTACAGGAAGACACTGCCACTGCCAGGGTGAAGAAGCTGTCTTGATGCATTGGGGCTGCTGCAACAGCGTACCATAGACCTGCAACCGTCTACACAACAGAAATGCTCTTCTCACAGTTCTGGAGGCTGGGAAGTCTAAGATCAGGTGCCAGCAGATTCAGCATCTGGTGAGGTCCCTCTTCCTGGTTCGCACCCTAACCTCACATGGTGGGAGGGGTTACGGGGTCTCTGAGGTTTCTTTCATAAGGACACTAATCCCATTCATGAGGTTCGGCCCCTATGATCTAATCACCTCCCAAAGGCCCTACCTCCTACCTCACCTTGGGGGTAAGGATTTCAACATGTGAATTTGTAGGGGACACAAACATTCAGACCATAGCAGAAGCATGGCCAGGGTGATGCAGACAGCAACAGAAAGCAAACAAAAGGGAGCAGGTCCCTGTCCCTCCTCCAGCCTTCATTCTTCCCTAGCTCCCCTTTGACAGGTATTCCAGAGAGCAGCTTGCATAGCAGGAACGAGGTAGCAAAGTCCCAGCCCCCACGTCACAGAGCAGAGAAAGGCAGTTTGGAGCAAGATTCAGGAGTTTACCATCTGGCACACTGAGCTTCCCGCAGTCAAAAATCTAACAAACCACCTGTACCCAAGTCCTTGTTTAGGGTCTGTATTGGGGGCAACCCAACTTAATTCAAATCTCAAGTTATGGTTTGATCCCAAACCTCATTAATTAGCTGTTCTCTTTGGGATCTTTGCGGTTGCAAGCAACAGAGACCATCTCTAACTAAGGAAAACAAATGAGCAATATGTCAAAGGCATGTGGAGTAGCTCAGAACTGAAGGAGAGACTGAAGAATCATCTTAAACCATCCTAGAAAAAGGGCCAAGCTTGGCACAGGTTTAGGGACCTGGATTCACAGCAGGAACTGGGGGTGATCTTGTTAGAACACACCCATCAGAGGGCAAGCTCCAGCATCTGCAGTCTTGGTTTCTCTGACTCAGATCTCAAATTCTGACAAGAGGGAATCTGATCAGTCTAGTTTGGGTCACTTTCCCCCCACCCAAGGCCAGAGAAAGGCAAGGTATCTTGACTGACAGTCTGATCACGGCTGCACCCAGTGTGGGAGGGACAACTCCATACAAAACCAGGACCGTTGCCTGAGGAATGGGAGGTGCTGCTGGACAGGAAAGGGCAGCAGATGTCAACAGCTGTCTTAGGTTGGGTCCTCCTGGAAGCCAACCCTGAGACAAGAAGGGAAGGCCACATCGCTTATTTGAGAGAAAGCATGTGTGCATAGGGGAGCAGGGAAGTGGGACAGGGAGGGAGGCTAACACAAGGCGTGCTGACCAGTGGCTTCCTCCATGGGCATCTGGGGCTCAAACCCACTGGGGACCTTCAAGAGGCAGTGGAACGTGCCTCAGAGTTATCCCAACAGAAGGGTGAGAGAGCTGGGGTATCTATTCACCAGGTCCTGTCCACCTGTGGTTGGGCACTGCTCCTGGGAGCATGGACTCCCCAGGATTCCCAACCTGCCCTCCGAGTGGACCAAGCACACTCCTAGGACCATGGGAACCCATAAGGCAGAGTTGCCTGTGCTCACAGTGAGAAGCCCTGGAGCAAAGGCACAAACGAGGACAGTGAGTGTCGAGGATCTGGGAGAAGCAACAGGGTGGCTGATACAACAGCAGTGACTGGCCACCAACTTGATGCCACCGCTTTATGGAGCCGGTGGCTTTGGGAGAGTCTCACTCCTAGAGTAGACTTGAGGCTGCATGAGGGAAGAGGAGCCGGAGACCCTGTCATCAATGCTGCTGGGAGGCCTGTTGAGCCACCACTTTGACTAACAAGAAACACTTTTTATGAAACAAAAGGTTTTGTGCTTTTTTCAGAGACCTTGGGGAGAGGAAAAGCCAGGAAATAAACCCACCCTGCAGCTCTCTGGGGGAAGACAGAACCCAGCAGGGGCAAAGGAGGGCAGCTGCCAAGAAAACAAGCAGGTGGGGTAATTCCCAGCGACCCTCAGGTGGGACAAAGAGCCCTCCTGGGCCCTGAGGTGTCCACTGCAGCCAGCCCCACATTTCACACCATGGGCCCGACTTTCAGGCCGAGGTGAGCCTGCCAGGAAGCGGTGCTCACCTGTCCCTGCCTCCCACCTGGACCTCACCTCCTTCCATTGTCCCCGCCAGTCCCCTTCGTTTCTCCCCGTGGACCAGCCCACGTCCATTCCTGCCCCAGGGCCTCTGCCCTTGGAGTTCCCTCTGCCTGGAGTGCTCTTCCCTCAGGTGTGCACACGGCCCATCTTGTCACTCGCGTCACATGTCCTCTCTTCTGCAGTCTTCCTTGACCACGCAATCTAAAGTGGATCCCCAGTCACCATAGCATGCACCTATTGGACTTCCTTCCTAGCACTGTCTCTGACCTACTCTTGGTTGTCTGCTTGCTCGCGCGTCTCCTTCCTCCTCTCTCCCCACCCCAGAACGCCGTGTCTGCGAGGGCAGATCCAGGTCTAATTTTCTCTGCTGACTAACCCATGCCCAGACTGTGCCTGGCACAGAACAGACCCCCAATCCATTTTCTTCATTGACTGATTGAATATAATATAAAAATGACCTTTCTTTCCCAGACAACCCCCTGCCTTTTTAAATGGAATATTCACTGACCACATAGTCTAAAAAATAAAAAGACTCGATAGAGAAAAGAAAGGGTTTGCAGTGGTTGTTCCAGCTAATGGTTTCCATCATTCTCTCTTCAGCTTTGAAGTGATAAATATTTCAAAACTATGCAGTGGAGTGGGTTCTCTATTTATCTTTTTAAAAGAACAGCAAAAGCATGTTTCTTTCTTGAAATCAAAACCTCAAATGAATTCAGAACAAGATTGTTTAAAGCTCTAAATAGAATGGTGACTCCATTTAGTATTCTATTTTTCATAACAAAGGAATCATAGAATGTAATTTGTGCTCCTGTCAGTTTTCTCTAATAACGTGTAGTTGTCTTGACAGATGCTTTTTTTTTAGGCCAATGCAATAATCCATTTAAGTACATTTACTCAGTGCCCTTAATATATTTTGGAGCATCTACACAGGGAAGGAGTTATGTTTTAGTTGGTATAAGTAAAAACTTATTTTCATACTGTTAATAGAAAATAGAGGCCCAAGGGCAACATCAATATTTTTGTAATGATTCTGGCTTAGAGTAATTTCTATTTCTTAGGATATGACAGTATTTGTGTGCACGGGGTGTGTGTGTGTGTGTGTGTGTGTGTGTGTGTGTACACTAGAGAGCACACACACTCACGTGTGACAGGATTATATTATGGTAATTGAAATCATTAATAAATCTGAAAAATCTCCCCCGCCGCATCAGCATAGCACACTGTCTGGCACACAGGATAAGCTCAATAAATGCTCGTTGGACTGATTAACTTCCAAACAAGGAATCTGTGCACTGACATTTGAGTTTGCTTCTTGAAACCTGACCTAGGATCGCAATCTCCAAGTAAGAAATTTTTAAGTATCTCATGCAAAACTACATCCAGTACACATGCTGCAGCACATGGCACTGGTGCCCGGCCTATCTGCCCTCCACTCTTACCACATCCACATATTTCCACGTCTGACTTCCAAATGCCAGCTCCTGTACTTCTCTGCCTCAGGGCTTCCTGGCCCCAGAGTTAACACCCTGAGCAGCCTCTGAACTAACTGACAGCTGGCAGATTAACACCCAGCTGCCTCACCCCTGGGGCAGGTGACACTGAGGCACACATTCTACTCTGCCCCCCAGAGCTCTTCAGTGGGATTCAGTGCCAGGGGCCCTCGGGTGCACTCTGATTTGGTAACACGCCTCTCATTGGCCGCCTGCCTCCCCGTCTCCCTCTCCACGCCACTACTGGGGCTTCCTGGGATCACGTTCCATTGCAACTTTTTACATTCAAATCACTGCTTCAGGATCAGCTTCTGGGGGAACCCAAACTTAGATACCTTCAATAATTTTCTCTCTAACAAAACAGTCATCCACAAAAGCATGCACTTGTGCTTAAAATGAAATGAAAACAAGCCAGTGTCATCAACTAGCATTTTTCTCAGTGAGATCCAGACATCACCTGACTCTCTAATGCGTCTCTAAATGAACCATGATAAACCGCAGGTCTCTTTCCTACATGAGGATGGCTTGATGGCTGTTTAAGAGCCTTGTCCTGAGCATGGCTGAGCCTCCTACATTTCCAAGGCCCCTATTAATTAGACAGAGAATATGCAAGCAAAGAAAACTTTTTAATGAAGGCTTCACTGGCAATGCCAGACGGGTCAACTAGGGTCTAATCCAAACAAGGAACCCTCACTCTTTTCTCATTTGTTCTAAGATATCAATGCATTTCCCCTACAGTGGCCCAAAGACATTTTCTCCCGTTGATCCTGGACATCTTAAGAGCCCTTCTCTCCCAGTTTCTTCTTGTTTGCCTTTGTCTTTCCAATCGTGGTCTCCATGATGACAGAGGTTTCTTCGTACGTCTCAATGCTCTCCGTTGAAATTTTCTCAATGGATTCCACCACTTCTACCTTCTTATATGCCAAAGCCCTGGGAGGGCTTTTTTCTGGCAGGCTGCTGCTCCTGCTCCCGTGATTCTCTGATCCATTCTGAGAGGCCCCAGGCCTTTGAGACTGCTGTGTAGATGGTCCCTCTGGAGCAGGTGTGACCCCAGGACAGGGTTTCCTGGACCCCGCCTCCTCCTTCTGGCCATCATGTTTCTCCCTGGGGCCTTTCAGTTCTTTGTCACTTATCTCACTCTCTACGTCTGTAGACTGCTGGTTGCTCGGGTGTCCATCTTCTCCCCCCTGAGATTCCCCCTGTCCATTCTCCAAAGGAGGCTTGGGCTGCTCAGGAGAGGGCTCCACATGGCCATCAGGACGCATGGTGTCTTCCTCAGTGGAAACAGCCACCCCACCCTTGGCCGGGAGGGAGGAGGAACAGAACTCAGGGTCCACATAACTGGCATCCCCTGTGACCAGCACATGCCGCCCTTTGGTGTAGAGGTCAGTGGGGGGCTCGGGCTCCGGCTCGGGCTTGGGCTCAGGCTGGGGCTCGGGCTCGGGCTCAGGCTTGGGCTCAGGCTTGGGTTCGGGCTCTTTGGGGCTTCTTGCCTTCTCCTTAATCATCTTGCGTAGTTTCCCAAAGGCTTTGCTGATCTGCCCTCCATCTGGCACATCCTCCGGAGCCCCATCTTGTGTTGGGGGACTTGCTCCTTCAGCCCCTGATTGAAGCTTACATTCAACTTCCTCTTTAAGGATCACCTGCACCGGCTTTGTATCTTCCAGACCTCTTAATGGTGCATCTTCCTGAGTTTCGTCTGCCTTAGCTATAATCTCTTTTCTCCTTGGTACATTCTTGGGGAGGGCTTTCTGTCTTGGTTTTGCTGTTGTTATATCCTGCACAACCCTGGCAAGATCTGAAAAAAGACACACACACAGGCTGTAAGTCAAGGATAATTGTCAAGGAAAAAGCTATATGCATTGGAAAATAGGCCAACTATATGGGAGACAAGTGCCTAGCACTAGGGTGGAGTTTCCTACGTATGGGCAAAAGCAACAGGGAAAAAGCCCTGGACCTGCAGCTCCACGGCCCACGTGGAGGTCCCAGCTCTGCCCATCAGCTGTGTGACTTTGGACAAGCCAGTGGGTCCCTCTGGGCCTCCAGAGGGAAGGGAAGGTGCTGCTTGCTCTGGCGCTCAGAGTTCACTATCACATCGGGCACAGACACATAACTCCACTGCTATGACGCTCAGTGAAAGCAATACTGCCACCCCAACTACAGTCCCTGCTGAACTCACCGCGCAAACCTGGATCCACAGACTAGACAACACATTCCACAAGGCCATTCTCTCCTCTGCCTTCCTCAAAGGACAGTCGGCAGAGCTGCCTGGGCCTCACATGTTCAGATGACTTCAGGCTTGGGGACCGAATCCATCCACAGTATATCTCCCTCACTCAACATTTATCCCCCACTAAATACACATCATCACCCCTTGATGGGCATCCCCTTCCCTCCTGAGCCTGAAAAGAAAGTGAGGCTCTTGAATTCAGAAATGACAGGAATCCCTTGTTTCCAAAACCATCCTCATTTCTTCAGATGAGCTGAAAGGAAAAACTGGGAGTTGAAGAAAACACACACAAAAGCTCACCCTGTGTAATCTTTCAGGCTTTCCAGCTCCACTCACATAGGATATTTAACCTTTTTCATCCCAAAGGTCTTCTCCATCCCCTCCCACCAGTAACCACAGGACTAAGACAGACAAAGCCCCAGCATGTATTGCAGGTTGATTCATGATGGTGATCTGAGTGGGAAGAGAGGGCAGGCAGGGTCATGGAGCCACGAGGGAGAAGGGGATGCAGGAGGAACTTGTCAAAGGAAAGCCGTGGAAGCTGCTATGGGAGAAGGGGGAGCTATGGGACCAGGCACAGGATTTCAGGTGCAAAAGGAGAATGCAAGACCCCTTGTTCAAAGTAACTGTGAATTTCAGGACAGCAACAACAGAGCCCTAAGCCTAGCTGGGACCCCCTGCAGGGGCTGCCCCCTGTGGAGCCGCCCTGCATGTCTGGCCCAGGGCCACAGCCCTTCCAATGACGTTCTGACTCTGGACCCCATCTCCACCAACCCCTCAGAGCCGTCTGAGAAGCATGGACTGAAAGGCCCTGTAAGTATGAGCATCAACATTACCATCTTGTCTGTTCTCCCAAAACGCTGTGTTTGTTCAGAACCGGGAGATTCAGATGGGAGGTGACATCTCACATGTGTGCAAAACCATTCCGAAAAGACCCAACGCTGAAGGCAGAAGCCACGCGTGCTTACTAAGCTGTTTCTGCTCAGTTTTGAAGGGGAGAGAAAATGAACAAGAACGGAGCACCTGCTCTGCACCAGACACCGGGTGAGGCACCTTTGCACAGATGAGTTCATTTCACTTGGGAGGGAAAATACAATTCAATATTCACTTCTTGCCGAAACGAAGAAGTAAGCAGTGACTACTGAATTGTATTTCCCCCCCAATGAAATGCTTCGTGACCAGGGATGGCATCCTGAGGTGGCCCATCCTCCAGTCGATTTTCCTCTTTATAACCTTCTCAGCTCAGTCACTTGGCTAAACCCGAGGGAGAACATCAGAGAAGGAGGGAAGGAGACCTCCCTTACATAAAAGCATTTAATTTCCGATGGATTGCAAGGGAGCACGAATGTTAATGTCAGGAAGAAAGCCACTTGGTTATCTCATTTTTCACAAGACAAATGAAGCAGAAGCCAGGGTTGGGGAGTGTTACCTTTCCCACTGGATCCAAGGCTGAGAGAAGTGGTATGGCTCGGGATGATGGGAGCATCAATGAAAGCAGAGCTCAGCCTGGCAGAAAGAACCAGAAAGAGGTGGCACCATCTTAAATCCATCAAGCCAAATACATGGTTGGGGGCAAGACAGGCTCTCCCTAATGTTGAGCAAATATAATAAAAGCTTTCTCGCAATCAAATTGCTCATGAATTATATATATTTTCAAACAGATAACTGAATACAAATTTACACACTGAATAAGGATGGAAAGGAAATCATTGTTTCCTTGACCTCAAATCACAAACTGGGAAACAACTACAGAAACACAGCAAGGTGGGGATTGCTTATAATCTAAAAATGCCACTTCTCTGTGGGACAGGGTTTTTGTTTTGTTGTTTGTTTTTTAATCAAAAAGTTGCCATCCCAGGCTGAAGTATTTAGGGCAAACAGAGTATGATATCTCCAACTTGTTTTTTTAAAAATAATATGCATTACATATATAGAGAAAAAAACGTGATAAAGCAGTTGAGACAAAAGGTTAACAACTGGTAAGGCTGTGCAAAGAGTATCCAGAAGTTCCTTGTTCTATGCTTGCAACATTTCAACCAATTTGAAACTATATCAAAACGAGTAGTTATAAACAAACAAACAAAAATAGCATTCATTTACCTGTGACACGCTGCCCCCAAAACAAAAATGCTCAGGAGGACATTTAAATGCCAGTTCATGACTTATTTTCATAAATGTGCTCAAAAAGCATTCACCTTCACATAAATATAATAGGAATTATGAAAGATACATTGACCATAACTAGAAAAAGAAACAGAAAATCTTGCTTTTCCTGCTAAACATTCGAGCACTCACAGCCAAAATAGAGTGCCCAGGGTGCAGGGAAGAACTGCTGCTTGTGGAGTACTTCAGGGGGGCTTTTCCTTCAACTCATTTGAAACCCAGAAAATTAGCAAGACTGAATGAAGAAAGAATCATGGCTTAATACCCAAACTGTTGTCTGAAGGGCGTCTATGGATATGGATATTGGTATAACCATAGAGGTAGAGGTAGATGTCGATGATGCAGATGATGCAGATGATGTCAATGATGTAGATGTAGATGAGGTAGATGATGCAGATGATGCAGATGATGTAGATGATGCAGATGATGTAAGTGTAGATGACGCAGATGATGTGGGAGTAGATGATGTAGATGATGCAGATGATGTAGATGAGGCAGATGATGTAGGTGTAGATGAGGTAGATGATGTAGATGATGTAGATGATGTAGATGATGTAGATGATGTAGATGATGTAGATGAGGTAGATGATGTAGATGAGGCAGATGATGTAGATGAGGCAGATGATGTAGGTGTAGATGAGGTAGATGATGTAGATGATGGAGATGATGTAGATGGGGGAGATGATGTAGATGAGGCAGATGATGTAGGTGTAGATGAGGTAGATGATGTAGGTGTAGATGAGGTAGATGAGGTAGGTGTAGATGATGTAGATGAGGTAGATGATGTAGGTATAGATGATGTAGGTGTAGATGAGGTAGATGATGTAGGTCTAGATGATGTAGATGATGTAGATGAGGTAGATGATGTAGATGATGTAGATGAGGTAGATGAGGTAGATGATGTAGATGATGCAGATGAGGTAGATGAGGTAGATGATGTAGGTGTAGATGATGGAGATGAGGTAGATGATGTAGGTGTAGATGAGGTGGATGATGTAGGTGTAGATGAGGTAGATGATGTAGGTGTAGATGAGGTGAATGATGTAGGTGTAGATGAGGTAGATGATGTAGGTGTAGATGAGGTAGATGATGTAGATGAGGTAGGTGATGTAGATGAGGTAGATCATGTAGGTGTAGATGAGGTAGATGATGTAGATGAGGTAGGTGATGTAGATGAGGTAGATCATGTAGGTGTAGATGAGGTAGATGTGGTAGATGATGTAGATGAGGTAGATGATGTAGGTGTAGATGATGTAGATGAGGTAGATGATGTAGGTGTAGATGAGGTAGATGTGGTAGATGATGTAGATGAGGTAGATGATGTAGGTGTAGATGATGTAGATGAGGTAGATGATGTAGGTGTAGATGAGGTGGATGATGTAGGTGTAGATGAGGTAGATGATGTAGGTGTAGATGAGGTAGATGATGTAGGTGTAGATGAGGTAGATGATGTAGGTGTAGATGATGGAGATGAGGTAGATGATGTAGGTGTAGATGAGGTAGGGGATGTAGGGGAAGATGATGTAGATGATGTAGGTGAAGATGATGTAGATGATGTAGATGATGTAGATGATGTAGGTGTAGATGATGTGGATGATGTAGATGATGTAGATGAGGTAGATGATGTAGGTGTAGATGATGTAGATGATGTAGATGAGGAAGGTGATGTAGATGAGGTAGATCATGTAGGTGTAGATGAGGTAGATGTGGTAGATGATGTAGATGAGGTAGATGATGTAGGTGTAGATGATGGAGATGAGGTAGATGATGTAGGTGTAGATGAGGTAGGTGATGTAGGTGAAGATGATGTAGATGATGTAGGTGAAGATGATGTAGATGATGTAGATGATGTAGATGATGTAGGTGTAGATGATGTAGATGATGTAGATGATGTAGATGAGGTAGATGATGTAGATGAGGTAGATGATGTAGGTGTAGATGAGGTAGATGATGTAGGTGTAGGTGATGCAGACATAGACGATGCATATGTAGATGTAGATGATGTAAATGCAGATGTGGAGACAGGGAGAGGTAGAGATAGAGAGATATTTCCCAACTGTCTTGAACTAAGTGGGGCTCAAGGCACAGCTCCATCACCGAGGAGATCAGGCAGCACATGGACAGCCACATAACTGACTCAACTAGGCGCCAAGCACTATGCCAGGCACCTCGCCTCCAGCACGTCTTCAGTCCTCCTGATTATCTCACCGGCTAGGAGGCTATGAACATAAAGCAGCCTTCTCAGTGAGCAGACCTTTCTGGCCACCCCACTTCAAGTTTCAAGCATTCCCACCATCACCCCCAACACCACTCCCCTCCACCCTGCACTTGTCACAGGTCATATTCCCTCTGTCACACATCCTTTCATCATCTTTCTCCCCCACTAGTATTCGAGCTCCATAAAGTCAGGGATTTTTGTGTTTCATTCCCTGCCACGTCCCCACTGCCTAGAACTGTGCCTGTCAAACAGGAGACACTCAACAAGGATTCCTGCAATGAATAAGAGGCCAGGATGGGGAGAAGGGCACGTTCTCTGGGGCCTGCAGTCACAGATCCTTAACACACCTGTTGCCTTCGATCTCAATGATCCGATGATACCGGTCCAGCTCATTCTTCAGGGTTTGCTGGGCGACTGCCAGTTGCCGGCAGTCATAGGAAGACTTCTCCAGAACCCGCTCAGTCTCTTCAATCTCCTTACGCAGGGTTTCGATCTGGTCATTATAAAGCTGAATCTCATCATCGTAACACTCATGGGCATTTTTAATAGCTTGTTCCAGGGTTGTTGTCTGTGGGCAAAGACACACTGTAAGGAAATCCATCCCACCTTCTCACCTGAGACATGGACTTTGCCGGGAGAACCTCGACTTGGTGTATGAGGTTTTATTTGTTCTGTTTGTTTGTTCTCTGTCAGTTAGAGATTAGCAATCAAGCACTTTGGATTCCTTAAACCAAAGAGGAATGTGAAAACTGAGCTCCTGTCTCTTTGCCCTAACACCAGCACCCTCTGGGATTAGCCCATAACAGAGCCCCCCACAAAGGCAGTCTGAAGATGAAAAACCCAAAAATAGAAAGAAATCCTACTGTCCATGGAACCATACATATAATTCATACAAAGTACATTCTTCATGCTTTAATGAATTTGCATAAATCCAATAGCCAAAAGAAAAAGTAAAAAGAAGAACACATATTAAATACACAAGATGCTTCTTGTACTGAAATACTTAGGGGGAAAAAACTTTCCTTGTTCTCACTCAGTCACTATGGTGCTTCAATTTTCTCCTGAGCTTTGATCAGTGAAGATACATTTATGTTTTGGTAGCTAAAATATATGTGTGTGCACAGTTGTGTATACACAAAAGAACATTAGGGAAACACTATTTATAGGAAAGTACTTCAAGAAGTTCATGGAAAGATTTGTATTATCTTTCAATTCTACTTTTCCATGAATTTTTTGAAGTACCCTCGCATATGAATGCAGGGCACATAAAAATTAAGGCAGGATAATAGAAACAGGTGGCTTTATATTCACTTAAAGAGCTTGTGACGACGCATAAGGACCCATGAACGCACTTACTTACAAGCTTAATATCTGTAGTCATGCCTCCTTTACATCTCACTCTCAACTAGGAAAGAATTCCACATGCAGTGTCCTCCAAAACAAAATAAACCAAAAAAACCACTTCTACCTACAGCAGCATCTCTCAGACCACAACATGCATCAGAACCACCTGAGGATGTTAAGATGCGGCTCCGACCCAGAAGGCGGGGGCAGGGCTGGAGATTCTGCATTTCTAACCAGCTCACAGGGGATACTGATGAACTGGTCCAGCTAGCCAGGTGTCTGTATTCAATTTCATGTATGGCATTTCCTACATCCAGACCTAAATGTACACACTGGAGGACGATCACTCCTATTACAATCTGATTTTTCACTTTATACAGATATGGCCTTGGAACAGCCAAGTTCCCTAAGTAATGGCATTTGAAGACTTAGCTTACAGAGGTGTTCAGGAATATAACTGCTGCATCAGATAGGGGGGAGGCGGGAGGAAAAGGTACATGCACTAAGCACTTGGGGAAGACATCTGTCAACCCGTGCCATCCCTTTGAGTGGTGACTGCTCCATCAATCCACAGGAAGGGTCCTGGCAGCAATAAGAGCCCACGCTCCTGTCCAGAGCTACAGTACCAGGGGTAGACCTGACTTGAACTGGCCTAGCCTACACCTTCTCTCCCGGGAATTTGGAAAGAGATCTCAGAAACAGAAGCAAGGTAGGTGGCAGGTTCTAGACTCACAAGACGCATCAGCTGGGGTCTCAGGCTGCCATTCTGGAATGGTGATCCTTCATAATGAAGAAGGCGATTCTTCAGAGAGGCAAAGAAATGCAGCCAAAGGACAGAGAAACAGATGAGTAAGCCCATGGCAAGAGAAGGCAGAGGAGGGGAGGGGAGGAGGGGAGGGGACAGAGGGAGCAGCTGCCTCAGACCCCGCTTCCCGGTTCCCGCTGAACCTGCTCTCAGATTTCACATGCTGCCTTTTGAACTCTGCTCCTTTGAAAAAAATGAGTACCTTTCCAGGGGAGAAACCTGGCAGACACTGCCTTAACCAAGCGATCAAAGTTAACAGCACCTGGAGAAAGACATATGGAGATAAGGAGATATGCATATCACTTCCATGGGGTTCTTGCCAAAAATGCAGAAGCTTAGTCTCATCCTGAGAAAACATCAGCGAAACCCAAGTGGAGGGATGTCCCGCACAAGAACCCACCTGGACTCTCCAACAGCATCAAGGTAATGAAAGACAAAGGAAGACAGAAATTGTCCCAGACCGGAGGACACTAAGGAGACACAATACGTAAATGCAAGTAGGATCCCAGACCAGAAAAAAACATAGGTGGAGTCACTGGTGAAATTCTAGTACAGTCTATTTACAGTATGGTATCATCCTTAACCCTGGTTTTCATCACTGTCCTGTGGTTATTAAGAGGTTAACATTTGGGGAAGCTGGGTGGAGAGTATATGAAACCTCTGTGGTATTTCCGCAGGTTTTCAGAAGTCTAAAATTACTTCGAAATAAAACAAGACAGTGCCCTTCCTGTTGAAGCTAGTTTGATTGGCTTTCTGTGACTCATAAAGAAATCTCTACTTGAACAGTCACCTGTAAGGTCCAACAGCAAGTCACCCCACCACCTCCTGTGCAGCCACACCAGTGTTCACATGCTCTAGGAAATGTTTCTGAGAAATAAGGAGATTCCAGAGACCCTTTTGAGGCCTGCATCTCAGAGAAGCTTCAGAATCACACAAGGGAAAGCGTGGGGCTGGAGATGACATAAGAGGGGCTGTGTGTTGGGGATGGAGACATGAGGGCTCTGATACCATCTCTCAGTTTTCCATATGTTTGAAATGTCCCGTAATATAGAGAAAAACAGAACCTACCATCCTCTTTGGGTATGGATTCCCCAGCCCAGGGCAGGAGTAATGGTTTGTGCTAACGGGTCCTAACCTGGGTCAGCTCATTAACCTCACAATGACCTTACAGATTGTGGCTGTTATTATTCCCTTACAGATGAGGAAACAGAGACACAGGCAAAGTGACCTGCCCACAAATACCACAGAGTGATTCAGACCACCTGTACAGGGTGAGACACTTCCTGAAATCGTGGGCCCTCCCTGCCTCAGCTTCCTCCCTGCTGCGGGAGATCAGTGTGCAGACACACACGTGTGCAAACACACAGGCACATGCTCATGCACTGCAGAGCCCCTGGAAAACTCCCCATTCCCCTGTATAGCAGCACCACCCACCTGTTCCCACAGGGGACTCAATGTGACCCACACACAGATCCCTTCTTGAGCATTTTCACTTAGCAAACTTTTAAACTGGAAGTAGAATTACAAAGGGTTGTCACAAACTAGGTCATCTACCCCCTTTCTACCCTCCTGGGCAAGTACAATCTTTTTTCTATCTCACAATTTGATGGTTTGTTCTTGTGGTGGTGGTTGGTTGGTTGGTTTGTGTGTGTGTGTATTTGTTTGTTTGAAGGATACATGTTTTAAAGGCTGATGTCCTCTTGTGCAGAGAGGTGGGAGGAACTCTTGCCCTGGGGGAAGCTCCATGAAGTGACTTTCGGGCACCTTCCAACAATTAACTGGTGGCTGATCTGCCTGAATTGATCCAGATCCATGAGCTGAAAGGGAATTAAGGTGATGCCTGTGGTGTGAGCCACCTCGGCGCAGGTCAAGTGCCACAAGCGCCAGCCTGGCTGCTGGACAGGAAGACACAGTCCATCCTCTAGGAGCTCATAGTCCAGCAGGAAGCAGTTCAGTCCCAGAGACATGCCCAGGGCATCCCAGAACAAACGGAGCAGACTTCCAGGAGGAGGCGGGGGGTCCTGAGTATCGAGGAAGGAAAGAGACTTCCAGAAAAAGCAAAGTGGTGAGCAAAGGAGCAGGTGCCAGAAACCACAGAAGGGGTCAGGAGAGGAAGAGGAGGGAGGGTGACCCAGGGTCACATCGAGAGGAGTAGCCAAGAGGACACTGGAGAGAGAGGCAGGTGGAGAGATGGGCCACGCTGCAACCCGAACTTCACCCTGAGCAAGATGACAGCCACATTTCTGCTTGGACCGCTAGACCGTCTGGTTTAAATCTGTCTCCCCGCTGGGCTGTGAGCAGCTGAGGGGCAGGAACACAGGCAGGGGCCTGACAGTGGGCCCCATATGGAGGGGCAAGCTCATGCTTCGGTCCGCTTAGGACCCCAGACATCTTTGAGCCCAAGGTCTTTTCTTTAAAAAGAAACAGAAGAAATCAGTGTCCTTCGCCTATCACGCAGTGTCTTCCCAAAACTAACCACTAGATGGTGCTAAGTGACTTAAATGAGAAATGAGACCCGGGAGCTTTCCACTTAGCCATTAGTAAGCCTTTTTCACTTCCCTGTCACAGAAACTGTCAGTCGATGCAATTTAGGGAACCAGAATTGCCTGTCCTTTCTCCTCTACCTGCAAGAAGTGCCATCTCCAGCGGTCTTTGTGTCTGTGTTCAGCTTCCTTGAAGGAGGGACCCCAGCTCCAAACAGCCCAGGGTTGCTCAAACTTGAGCCTGTGGAATCACCTGGAGAGTTTGTTAAAACAGGGATTGCTGGCCCCCACCAAAAAGTTCCTGATTCAGTAGGTCTGGGATGTGCCCATGAATTTGCATTTCTGACAAGTTCCCAGGTGACACTGATGCTGCTGGGCCAGATCCCTCACCCTGAGAACCCTTGCTATGAAGGATTCTGGAAGTGCCAGTGCCCTGACCATAGGCAGAACCAGCTGCCACAGCCCTGCCAGAAGCTCTCCCTCCTCTGGCTGCCAATCAAGTCCCCAGTTATAGTACTGGCCTTGCCAAGAAGCCTTGTACCCGAATCTCCCTAAGAGCTCTGAGCTTAGCTACTCCTTTGGGAAACCACTAAAACCTCTGGAAACCACCAGAAATTCAGCCATGAACATTTTGAATTTGGTTGTAGAGGGCCCAAGCCTGGGACTCAGGGGAACCAGAGAAAATTCTGGTTTTTCAGAGAAAAACGCAGAAAATTCTGACCCAACCTGGGACCCACCCCTACACTGGTGGTTCTTGAAGTGTGGTTCCCAGACCAGCAGTATCAACATCACTTGGGAACTTGGAAATGCATTCTCCGGACACACCCCACACCTAAGTCAGAAACTCCCAGGTGTGCCCAGCCAAGTCTGAGTTTTAATTAGAGCTAATTAGGCAGAATTTTGGTCCCCTGATATGTGCCCTTTGGTGTTATACCCATGCATATGTTCCATGGCAAAAGGGACTTTGCAGATGTAATCAAGGTTCTTAATCAATTGACCTTAAAAAAAAAAAAAAAAAAAAGGGAGGAGGGATTATTCTAGATTATCCTTAATCACATGAACCCTTAAAAGCAGAAGCAGAGAAAGGCAGAAGCGGAAGTCAGAAAAGAAACGGGGTCCTCAGTCCTACAAGCACAAAGAATTGAATTCTTCCAACAATTGAATGAGACTAGAAGGAAATTCTCCCCCAAGAGCCTCCAGACAAGGGCCCAGGCCAGCCAACACCTTTATTTCAGCCTTGTGAGACCCAGAGCAGAGAAACCAACTGAACCTGCCAAGACTTCTAACCTACAGAACTGTGAGATGGGGGCCGGCCCGGTGGCGCACTGCTACAGTGCGCCGCTTGGGAAGTGCGGCGGCACTCCCGCCGAGGGTTCGGATCCCACATACAGACTGGTTCCCGCTCACTGGCTGAGCGAGGTGCGGGAGCAACACCAAGGGCTGCGATCCCGTTGCCGGTCCCCGGTCCAGTACGGGGGCGACACTGAGGGTTGCGATACTGAGGGTTGCGATCCGTTGCCGGACACGGAAAAAGACAAAAAAAAAAGAACTGTGAGATGGTAAAGGGGTACTATTTTAAACCCCTAGTTTGTGGTAATTCATTAAGGCAGCAACAGAAGACTAATGCAACTTATGTTCCATTGGACCCACTGCTAGATTTTATTTAATATAAGAACGTGTATTATCATATATGAAATGATTTGATAACATTTGGACAACTGTTTTAATATAATTGGTTTCCTTTTAATTAACTGGACTTTATTTTATGGCTTTAACAACATTTTTCTGAGGAGTCCCCAGGCTTCACCAGACTACCAAAGGTGGAGGGGGTGGGGGGATGGCCCCAAAGAGAAGGTTAAGATGCCTGCTTCAGAGAGATGAGGACATCACAGTAAAACCAGTAAGTCTTTTGGTAGCAGCTAAGGGTGAGAACAGGTGGCCAACCAGATAGATTTATTTCACTTTCTCAGAATAAACTAGGTTAATCCTTTATGAAATTTCTTATTTTTATATTCAACAAATACATATATGTACATAAAAGAGAAACATTCCTTTTGCTCTGAAACTGGAATTTATCATATCAGGTTAGGCTCTTTCATCTTTCTCAGTATTGAGAAAGATAGGCAGTGGATTTCAACATTATCACCATAGCCACAGGAAAAAACACATTTCACGTTGCAAGCCACACACATCGGATAAATACACATGTGTATGTGTGTGCATTTGAACAAACAGATATATCCATAAATATTGAATACAAAATTTTCAGAAACAAATCCTACCTTTTACTTGCTATGTGCTCTGTTATTCCTTATTCTATTTCAGTCTAGTGTTGTTGATTTCTCTTTTTTAATGCGAGTTGATTCTGCTGAATTCATTTTACACCCAATAATGAGTTGTAATTAGCAGTTTGGAAAACATTGGTCTCTAGGACCACGACTGGGCTTGCATCCACTTCCCTAATCACAACTTAACCTGATCCACACACAACACACACACGCACCACACACACAACACACATAACGAGGGCACTTCAAAAAGTTCATGAGTGGGCTGGCTGGTTGGCTCACTTAGAGTGTGGTGCTGATAACACCAGGGTCAAGGGTTCAGATCCCCACACCAGCCAGCCACCAAAGAGGAAAGAAAAGGAATTCAAAACAACACACTATACTCCACAAAAATGTACATGTAAATGTTAAAACCATAAAAATAAAGGTTCATAGATTTGTGCATATTTTAATTCTATTTTTCTCACAAACTTTTTGAAGTACCCTCATAGACCACACACACGCCATACATACACACACACACCCCATATCTCTCTCACCCACACACCGCTTCCTTCTATCTTCTCAGGGCCTCAGAAGAAATCACACATGACTAAGTCACAAGATGAGGCATCTGGTCCCTGATCTTGGGTTGTCTCCTGAGAAGGCAGAGTCTTAAAGGCATTCCTTAATTCTTCCAGCTGTAATCTTTGGCTCGGGGGACAATTACAGAGCCTAGTTTGCTCTCCAGTGGCCCCACAAGCTGCTGCATAGTGAGATTGTTGGGCAGTGCATGTTTGAGTGGGAATTAGGATGTCTAAACTCTAAGGTTACAAAATGAGAGCTAAGCAGTTGTGCAGGCACTGGACATCCATGAAAAACACCGCCTCTAGCTGTGGCTTTAAATTTTGCTCAATTTTATGGGCACTGGCAGGATAGAGACAGAGTAACATATAACATCCAGATGTTCTAGGTTTTATAAAGAATCAAATTTTTTAATTTTTTGTTCTCTCATCCCTGATGTCTACCTGTCAAACCAAATGTCAATTTACTTTTTGATTTGGGAAATGTGGTTACGTGGCCGTGTGAAGGTTCGGTATTTTAACCCAGAGTTTCCTACTAGAATGGCCAGCTGTGGGATAACAAGAGAAAGAAAACTGGAAGGAATCACGGGGGATGAACCATGAAGCTCATTAACCAAGAAGGAAAGCCACAAAAACAGGACTGAGAGTTTCTGTTGAGTTCAGTTTTCAAATTCAGCTTCACCCAAAAGCGGGGACAGGGCAGAAATGTGAGCTTTACACTAACCAATTTCCAACTAGAGGCAAAGACTGACACACCATTCTTTGTAGGTTTGTAATCAAATTCCAAAGGAGAAATTGTATCATGAGAAGAATAAAACAGGAAGCACAGATCTGAGCAAGTCCAGGATAAAACTCCCAGCATGTGCCCATTTCTTCTTAATCTTGACATCAACTTTAACCTGGGCAAATGAATCAACAATGTAGAAGCTGGGACAGCCTTACCCTCGGTAGGGGAGGGGCGTGACTCAAAGGGCTCACCAGAGGAACCTCTGAGGGGCCGGGAATCTGCAAGACCCCGTCTCCATCTGCTCAGGACCCTTCCAGTGTGGGTGCTGAAAGTCCTGCATCCCGGGAAACCCCTCACCTACTCAGAATGTTGTGTCTGCTGGGTGCATAGGTGTGTTCGGTTTATCATTCATTGAGCTGGGTCCTTGTGCATGCACGTGAAGCCTCCATGAAATGTATGGGAAACCCTGACTCTCACGTGGCAGACACGAGGGTGCAGAGCAGTACCTGGGCCTGCAGCTCGGCTCTCTGTGCCTGCAGGTGGGACAGCACCTCCCGGCCCTCCTCCAGCTGACTCCGCAGGGCACCCAGTTCCCGTTCTGTCAGCAGCTTCTCCTGCACAAGGAAGGCCAGACTCAGAGGAAATGCAATGAGGGAGAGGGTACAAAAGGGTGAGGGGCCTGTTATGGACTGAATGTGTCCCCCCAAATTCATGTGTTGCAGCCCTAACCCCCAAGGTGATGGTATTAGGAGGCAGAACCTTTCGGAGGTGATCAGGAGTAGATGACTCTCAAAGCCTCCGTTTCCCTTCTGTGAAAAGGAAAACGTGGAATGCAGACTGTCGTTCGGCTCTACTTTCTGTGTCTGTGAAGAGGATGGTGGGCCTGAGCTCTGAGCCGTCCTCTGTGGAAGGCATTGGCGCAGTGCCGGGGAAAGGGAAGCGGGTCCTGGTGAGGCCGCTGCACCGTCCCAGGACGCTCCATGGAATGGCCTGGAAAGAAATCCTCCTTCAACCTCGCCTGATGGGCCTCTCCACCGCTTATTCAAAAATATCCAAATTGCTTCACAGAAGACTGACTGCTCAAGAGCAGTGCCTTCCACCGAGTGCTCTGACTCAAAGCCACGCAAAATCAAAACCCAGGTCTAGCCAAGGGCTCCAGGGTTCAAGCCACACGCCCAAGGCAGCCGCTCCTCACAGACACCTCGCAAAGTGGCTGGAGCAACAGCACAGATGCGCAGGAAGCTGGAGCAAGACAAACGTGCTGGAAGGAGTGGAGGTCTGGTCTCTGGCCCCACCACGTGGAGAATGCGGGGCTGCAGGCATAGCTGTGGGGGCCTCGGCAACTAGAGGCTCGGTGTCTCTCTCTCTGGCTCCCTGCCCTCTCCCCATGTCTCTTAGTCTCTGTTTCTCTCTCTGCCTCTGTCTTCTTTGTTTTTCTGTGTCTCCATCTCTACTTCCCTGACTCAAAGATGCCAACAAGGGGGAGGCTGGGAGAAGAGGACTCACATCCCTAGGGATCAGTACATGGCAGATTTGCAAATATGCTACACTTCACACATCCTCGCCCTGCAGCCTCGCATGGCAGCAGCACAGTGCAGCCCATTACACCTGCTCTGGCCAGGCCCCTGCCACTCTCTGGCCTGCCTCTGCTCACTGCCTGGCTCCTGTTCATCATCACCTCCTCCCCTCCTCACCCCCAGGGTCCCACCCACAAGGTGCCTCCTGCAGTGCCTGGCGTGGGAGGCCCTCAAATGCTCATTGAAGAGGAAGGAAGACAGCCCCACAGCTGTCAGCTGGTAGCTGACACTGACAGGGAGGCCACAGCTCCCTAGCTGTAAACTGATCAACAATGCCACTCAGCACCCGAAGATGTCACTCTGAGACCACGGGGGAATGAGCCAGAAACAAGACCACTCTGTGATCATGTCTGAGCACAGACCAAAAGACCACTGAGCAGCCACAAAAATAACCAAGGCTGCTCTTCCCACTAACACGCGGGACGCTGCTTCACTACCAAGTACAGCTTTAACCACACGCTACTCCTCTGCATCTGAGATACAAATTACCGAGATACTCAGTCTTAGGACAATCCCCATTCTGAGAGCACCCAATCCAGAGCAGGGCCCGGCTTATCTTCCTCTCCCCCAAAGTCACAGGCCCAGACCCCATACCATGTCCCTCCTCCACCAAGATGCCCCATAAATCTCCATGTGTGTGCAGTCTCTTGCTGCAGTGAAAAATAAACCCAGCTTTAATCGACCCTGGGTGTGTCCCGGGTGGCCTCTGCCTAGTGGACACTGACATTATGCTTTACTGACCAGCTGGCCTGTGATCTTAGGGAACAACATTAATTATATCCTCATTCGTGCAAACGTGACTTCCACATTTTCTATGATGGTAACAAGAGTCAATGAAGCAAACCTGAAAGCAAACGTTTAACTCGTATGCAGCATGTTTAAGCTAAGATTCATAAAGAATGTGATGCTTTCTAAGTCTGTGCTTCTCCATCTTTAATGTGCACACAATAACCTGTGCACATGAAACTGAAAATCAGGATGCAAATTAAAACAAAAATGTCATCATGTCCCTTCTCCAGAGGTGTGGTAGGCTGGTTCCTGGTCAACTGATAGCAAGTAGGTGGATGGGTCAGCTGGTAAGACTCTGGGTTTTCTTGCAAGGTTGACCTAGGACAGTGTTTCTTAACTCTGGGGATCTTGCTAAAATACAGATTCTGGTTCAGTGGGTCTGAGGTCGGGCTGAACATTCTGCATTTCTCACAAGATCCAGGTGATGCTGATTTGATGATATCAAAATAAATCTAGTCAGTCTCTGTAATCTTACAACTTAAAAGGGTTTTGTTACAAGGGAACAGATGATACAATTTAAAATGTGCTCAAATGTAAAATATCTTTGAATTAGAGAAAAAATTAATTTGAAAAATAATGTCTATGGAAAGGAATCTGTGACAAAGAAAATTAAGGCTGTGGAAAGAGCTATTTTAGGCCTTTGTAGCAACCTCAGTTACATCACTTAGGAAAAACAGAATCCTGAAATGGTAATTGGTGGGCAATTTGGACATGAATATCCCCAAGAAGGCCAAAAACAAAGGTAACTTTCCTGCCTCTTAGGTGATGTTAGGCAGGGTTCAAAAGTATCTTCTAAAGCAAATTTGAGGATTTCTTTAGCTTTGATATAAAAAAATTAAGTTGAAATGAAAAAGTTCAAGCAACCGGCTACCCTAGCCAGCTGGTTCTGCAGCTTGTCAGCATGCCTCCCCATGGAGTAGGGTCCCACCCACCATCCCCCAGCAACTCATTCATTGACTTAGAGCATGGCCTAAGCACAAGTCTAGGCAATTCCAGAACACTGTCAGGACAGGGTTGAGAACCACTGTCCTAAATCATCCTTGCACAAAAATCAAAACCTTAGTTGACCACCAAACCCTGTACCAGCCTGCCACAACATATGGAAAAGGGACATGGTGACATTTCAATTTGAATCCTTTTCAGTTTATTTTTATATGTATTGTATTATACATCATAAATTTCCCTAAGTAAAAATTACCGTAGGAAAAAAAATATGTCAACATCCTGTTGAGCAGCTAGAGCTGAGTGAAGAAGGGATTTGGAGCATTATATTGGGAATAATGGTCCACATCCAAATCCCCAGTTTTTATAACTTGGCTTCAATAATCTCTATCCTTTCTCCATAGTTTTCATGTCAGACTCACACAATCATTAGCAGAGCCTGGTCTTGAAAATATATTCACTAATTGTTTGAGATTTTCTGTACTTGAAATGTGTGATCGAATCGAGGAGAATAAGAAAAAAAACAACCCAACTGAAAAATTGGCAAAAGATTTCAGCAGATACTTCAACAAAGATGTATGGATGGTAGATAGGTACATGACAAAATGCTCAACATCATTAGCCAGTAGGGGATACAAATTAAAACCACAATGAGAGGGCCGGCCCGGTGGTGCACTCGGTAGAGTGCAGCGCTTGGGAGTGCGGCGGCGCTCCCACCGAGGGTTCAGATCCCATATAGAGACCGGTCCGCTCACTGGTTGAGCACGGTGCGGGCGCGACACCGAGGGTTGCGATCCCGTTGCCGGTCACGAAGAAAGACAAAAAGGAAAAAAAAAAAAAAAACACAATGAGATACACAACATACCTATCAGAAGAGCAAAAAACCAAAAAGCTAACATACCAAGTGCTGGCGAGGATGCGGAGCAACAGAGACTCTCGTTCACCGCTGGTGGGGAGGAAATAATGGCCCTGCCGCTTTGGGAAACAGTTTGGCAGTTTCTTATAAAGTACACAAGGAAGAATGACCCACTACTCTCAAGAGAAAATACCTAAGAAACTGGTCAGAGGTGCAGTGCATGTCCTCAGATGTCTCAGCATTTACAGCAGGAGTGTAAGAACGGAAGGGCGAACTTCAAGGTGAATGCAAAGCAGGGTGGGGGCCTGCCTCACCCACCGTGGCTCCCCTAACAGTCCCACCCGACGTCTTTCCCTGGGTCTCTGCCGAGGCTCACTAGGCCCATGGGGGTGTAAGAAAAGCCTCCAGATGCAGCTTCCCTCTAGGACCAGCCTGCTCTCCCTGCAGCCATGGCTCCGATTCTTACCTCCCTCATCCCACTCGTCACGGTGGATGCTCGAGGAGTGGTGTGGATGATCTGCTGCAGGATGCTGATGTAGGTCTGAATCTCCAGAAGATTCTGTTGGGAGAGGGAAAGCATTCCCATTAGAAGTTGAGCTGCCGAGTGTTTCCCTCTAGTACTAGGGGAGCCCAGGAACGAATACTTCCACAAGCTCCACCTTCACAGATGGGGTAGACATGATCAAGCTGGGGGTGAAGAAGAGGGCAGTGACTCTGCTGCCATCAATGAGCCACCCACTGTGTGACCACTCTATGGTGGGCACCTCATGTCTCCTTTAACCTTCACAAGAACAGGTGCTTTGCTGCTGTCTTCATGGAGCCCTGGGAGGCAGAGACGTGAGAGGAAAGCAGAACAGAAGAGAATGAAAGCAGCCCTGGAGAGTTCAAAGAACCACTTCTGACACCAGTACAGGGCAGTGTTTCAAGGACCAGGCTTTGGTCAGTCAGGCCTGAACTGAATGACTAACTGGCTGTGTGGGGACTTGGGCAAGCTATTTACACCTCCTAAAATGCAAGTTCTTCTATAAAACGGTAGGGATGACTGATCCCCTTTACCAGCCAGTGTGCCTGTTCCCAGCTCTGTGAGTGATAACATTGCCCTGTACAGAGAGCAGCCATTGGCCAACCCATGGTCATCTCGTCCAGGAAGCCACACAGGCCCTGCCTCATCCTCAGTGCAGACCAATGACTGACTGGCACAGGAGTCTCCAGAACCTGTGAGATCCCGAGATAGGGCTAAGGCTGGACTCCAGCTAATTCCACACCCTTGCTCAGCTCCTGCCCTGACCTGTCCTGCTTCCCTCCCTCCACTAATATATCAATTACACAAAAGTCACTACCTGGGCCGGCCCGGTGGCGCACTGGATAGTGCGCCGCTTGGGAAGCGTGGCGGCGCTCCCGCCCGAGGGTTCGGATCCCACATACAGACCGTTTCCCGCTCACTGGAGTGAGCGAGGCGCGGGAGCAACACCGAGGGTTGCAATCCCGTTGCCGGTCCCCGGTCCGGTACGGGGGCAACACTG